TGCAAGGCAGTACAGAGAAGGTTCACTCGGCTGATCCCAGGGATGGACGGATGGTCTTTTCAGGAGAGGGTGAGTAGGTTGGGCCTGTACTCGATGGAGTTTAGAAGAATGAGAGGTGACCTTGTTGAAACAAACAAGGGGGTTTGACAGGGGAGATGGGGAGAGGTTGTTTCCCCTTGTGGGAGGGTCTAGGACCAGACAGCATCATCTCAGAGTAAGGGATTGCACATTGAAGACAAAGATGAGGAAGAATTTCTTCTCTTGGAGTGGAGTGAATCTGTGGAATTCTTTCCTGCAGAGGGCTGTCGAGGCTGGGCCATTCAGTATATTCAAGGCTGAGAGAGACAGATTTTTAATCAGGAAGGGAATTGAGGATTATGGGGGAAAGGCAGGGAAGTGGAGTTGAGGATGTTCATGTAGTCCACTTTCCTGCTTTTCCTTGGTTGCTTGTTACCAACCTGGGGAAAATCCCAGGATCCTGCTGGAAGTGCAGGGTAGTGTTTGAAGTTTGTTGGGGAAACTGCTCACAGTTTCAAATTCACAGATGACTTGTCGAGTGTTAACACACACCCTGAAGTCTCACATGGTTTGGCTGGTTATTTTTAGCAGACACCCCCCCAACCCTCCCCAAGCCTTGGACACACATCTGAGCCAAGAAGTGACCACTTGTCCTGAGATAACATTGAAATGTAAATGTGTCAGAAATTCCCCGTTCCGTGAGTCTTCCCATTCTGTCAACTCACTTCCGCTGGGATTGTGGGCAGGATGAAAGGAAGAAGCTAAAGGGAAAGGACATAACAGGCTGAAATGTTATGTTACTTATTTTTGGGTAATATTCTCCATGATTTCTCCCTCCCCTTCTCTTGGTGGTGGTGATACTGATTGGGATGCTGCGTATGAAAGAGAGGAAACCATTCAGCCCATATTGGCTGTGCTAGCCCTTCAAAAGAACCATGGAATTATTTGCCATAATCCTGCAATTGTTCTTTCTCCCTTTTCAAATCTTTATTGAATTCCTGTTTGAAAGTTCTTGTTGCATCTGATTCCACTGCTCTGTCAGGCAGCGTGTTCAGGTCCCAGCAATATACTGGGCTAAACATCTTCCTCCTTTGTTCATTGCCAACTCACCTCCCTCTCCCTCTCTCTCTGCTCCCTCACCTCCCTTCCTCTCTACTCCCTCCCTCTCCCACTCTGCCCCTTATCTTTCCCTCGCTCTCTCTCTCTCTGTCCCCCCTCCATCTCTGCCCCCTCATCTCTCCCTCTCCCTCTCCACCCCTTCACCTCCCTCTCTCTCTCTGCCCCCCCTCACCTCCTTCTTCTCTCTCTGCCTCCCTCATCTCTCCCTCTCTGTCCCTGACTACCTTTTGAAAAATATCTGTTCACTCCCTGGAAACAATTTTGAGAATTCAATCTTCCTCTGCTTCAACGTGAACAATTCCACTCTCCTTGTGAAACTGAAGTCCAAGATAACAAGGAATATCTTCTCTCAGAAAGGAGTGAATCTGTGGAATTTTTTTACCGCAGAGGGCTGTCGAGGCAGGTTCGTTCAGGATATTCAAGGCTGAGACGGAGAATTTTTAATCAGGAAGAGAATCAAGGGTTATGTGGAAGAGGGCAGGGACATGGAGTTGAGGATTATCATATCAGCCGTGATCCCATCGAATGGTGGAGCAGACTCGATGGGCTGAATAGCCTACTTCTGTTACATGTTATGAAACTGGTTGTCAGATGGAGTAGATGGTGGGCTACACTGTAAAAGCTTGGAAAATGAGATTTTTGCTTGAGTGTGAGGTTAGGATAAATAAACAATGGGCCCAATGGCTATCCACATCTTGTGTTTGGCTGTTTCAATTGATTTTGCTTTGCTCTCCCCAGTCTTTCTCCAGAGGGCTTTCGCAATGCCACGGTCATTTCTGGTGAAGATAAAAAAAACTTACCATCAGGTTCGCTCCACCGATGATGAAGTGTTTCCCAAACTGGAGCCAGCACCATCGCCTCCTGCTGGTGAGTTTCCTTTAGGACGTGGATAACGTGAGGTGCATTGTCCCATGTAGCTGTGGATGTGTGTGTGTAATAATGGAAGGGCAATTCGTCAACTCATTATGATATCATTACCCCCATCTGAGGCTCTAGCTCCCTCCAAAGATCCAACTTTAGCTGGTCTCATCTTTGATCCATATTTCCCTCCATACTTTCTACTTTTTAAAAATTCACTCATGGCGTGTGTGAATCTTTGGCTCTTGTTCATCATTAATTAAGAGTTAAGAGTCAACCACATTGCTGGAGTAAGGTGTTGTCCAAGCCAGGTAAGGACAACAATTTCCTTAAGGACCTCGGTGAACCAGATGGGTTTTCTCCAACAATTGGCAATGGTTTCAAGGTTACCATTAGATCCTTAATTCCAGATTCCTTTCGTAATTGAATTTCGAGGACAGGAGCAGGGATGTGTTGTTGCAGTTATACAGGGCCTTGGTGAGACCACACCTGGAATATTATGTGCAGTTTTGGTCTCCTTTACTGAGGAAGGATGCTCTTGCTCTCGGGGGAATGCAGCGAAGGTTTACCAGGCTGATTCTGGGGATGGCGGGACTGATGTATGAGGAGAAACTGACTAGGTTGGGATTGTTTTCACTCGAGTTCAGACAAATGATGGGGTTGGGGGGATCTCATAGAGACTTATAAAATTCTAACAGGATTGGACCGGATAGAAGTAGGGAGGATGTTCCTGATGGTGGGTGTGTCCAGAACCAGGGGTCACAGTATGAGAAAATTCAAGGTAAATGATTTAGGACAGAGATGAGGAGACATTTCTTTACCCAAAGAGTGGTGAGCCTGTGGAATTCATTACCACAGGAAGTAGTTGATGCCAAAAATATTGGATGTATTCAACAGGCAACTAGATATAGCACTTGGGGTGAATGGGATCAAAGGTTATTGGGAGAAAGCAGGATTAGGCTATTGAGTTGGATGATCAGCCATGATTGTGAAGAATGGCCTCCTCCTACTCCTATCTTTTATGTTTCAAATTCTACTGTGGCTTGATTTGAACCCTGGACCTAGAACATTAACTATGTTTCTGGATTAATTAATCTGGTGATAATACCACTAGGCCATTGCGGCCCCAATTGTTCTTCTCTCTTATTCTTCCACTTTCTGTTTCCCTTTGACTTTCCAGCATCAATTTTTTTTCTTTTGCATTTCTCTGCATCCTTTGCCTCACATTTGAAGGCACTGTTAATCTAAAAGTCTGGTGGAATGATAGCCTTTACAAGTGGAAGCTGGAATGCAATGGGGAGGTTTTGTCATAACTGTACAAAGCCCTGGTTTGACCCCACCTGGAGCTCTATGTACCTCACATCCTGGGTGGCCATGAATGAGTGTAGTGCAGTTTCACCAGAATGTTGTCACGGCTCTGTAGATGAATAATGAGGACATGGCACATTGGCCAGCTCTGGTTGAGGTGAAATCTTTTCCTGGATGGTTCATCACATGACTTGCTCCCACCCTCCAACCATTGGTCAGCTAATACATGGTACAATGCCTTCCTACTCCAATGGGAAAACAAAAAGCCTCATGACCTATTTGGATGGTGTCTAACTGTCAGCCAATTGGCCTTTTGAGTTCCTTTGCAATATTTAAATAGCCTTAGCAAGTAATATTTTCAAGCAGGAGGTAGATATAGATCTGACGCTAAAGGGAACAAGGATAGAGGGCGGGGTTGGAGCATTGAGTTCGATGGTCAGCCATGATCAAATTGGATGGCAGATGAGGCTTGAAAGGCTGAATGGCCTACTCCTGCTCCTGTTTCTGTCCGGGAAAGAGAAAATGACAAAGATCATTTTTTTTAAACGGCACTCTGGTTTTCCTCCAGGGTTGTTCACACCTGTCCTGGCGACTGGTCTTTTCTCTGTCCTCTCATGGGATGTGAGCATCACTGGCCCATTTCTGTTACCCATCCTTAATTGCTCCTTGAACCAAACAGCTCTCGAGTCCATCTCTAAGAGTTAGCAATTAACCGCATTGCTGTGAGCTTGGAGTCATGTCGACCAGACCAGGTAAGGGAGGCAGATTTCCTTCCCTAAGGAACATTAGTGAACCTGTTGGGCTTTTAACAACAATTGACAATGGTTTGTTATTCGGCTAAACCTCAATTTCCAGATTTGTTGATTGAATTGCAATTCCACCGGTTGCCATGGAAGGGGTCAAACCCGCATCCCCGGAGCATTAACCTGGGATCTTCAATCCCTGGAGACTGCTGGCCAATCCTGGAGCGTTGGCAACCGTAAATTGATTGAGTTGAGGATTTTAGGGTTTTGAAGAAGAATTGATTGGGTAGTTAGAATTGATTGGGAGATGCCTTCTTTTAAAACAGTGTCCCCTCAGTCTAGATTCCCCCATGAGCAAAGTTTTAAGGGAAATGGGCCACAGGCAGATATATGGAGCTAGGCCATAGATCAGTCATGATCTTATTGAATGGCAGAGGAACAGGCTCAAGGGGCTGAACGGCCTCATCCTGTTCCCAAGTCGAAGGCTGTGGATGCCAGTGAAGAGTCATCCAATGGGATCACAAAGTTTCTATCCACTTTCTGATTGGCTTGTGGAGGTGGATGTTGGTCATGTGATTAAAACATCCATTGAATCAGATTCGGCAACAAAACTTGTTGGATGCCAAGTGATTGTGGGTCTTGTGTGTACCCAGCTATAATAAGGTAATAACTTCAGGTGAGGGGGAAAACAGACAAGAGAAAAGAAACACTCTCTTCCAACATGGAAATATTTATGTGTAAACTCTGTGTTGATTATTATTAACTTTTTTTTGATGGGGTGGGGTTGATTTAAGGGATAGGAGTTGCAGCTTGTGTTGCTAACAGTAAACACCAAAGAGCATTATCTTTCTACAATCAGCACCTACAGCTTTCACAGCATTAAAGATTGAAAAAACCTTAGCTCCCAACTGCAGCTGCTGCTAATGGGCTGGAAAAATGATTTGCATGAACCTGGGATGGGAAGCAATCTCCGTTGTGTAGCATAAACAGACAGGCCATCCAGATCTCCAGAGGCAACTGGTTGGGGAGGGGGAGAGAGAGATGGAAAGGTTGATAGTCGTTTTGTTGAAAATTCATCCCAACAGCAGGTGTCAAACTGTGATGTTAATACAAATAAAACAAGGTGTCATAATTCATGCAGATAATCATTCAAATGAAATAAAAAATAAAATACAGCCCTAACTGGAGAGGTTGAGTAGTTTGGGCCTGTACTTAATGGAGTTTAGAGGAATGAGTTGCAAGCTTATTGAGACATGCAGAATTCTTAGCTGACTTGACAAGGGAGATATGGCCAGATTGTCTCCCCGTGTGGCAGAGTCCAAGACCAGAGGGGCATCATCTCAGACTAAGGGATCGCACATTTAAGACAGAGATGAGGAAGAATCTCTTCACCAGGCAGGAGTGAATCTGAGGAATTCTTTATTGCTGAGAGCTGCCGAGATTGGGTCACTAAGTATATTCTAGGCTCAGATTAACAGATTGTTAATCAGAAAGGGAATCAAGGGTTATGGAGAAAAGGCAGGAAAGTAGAGTTGAGAATGACCAGATCAGCCATGATCTCATTGAATGATAGGGCAGACTCAATGGGCTGAATGGCCTACTTCTGCTGCTATGTTTTATGGTCTTATTGAAGGGTTCCATAATGATGAACTTTACCATATTTGGAAAATGCAGTACATTGCAAAATACAGGTTTCCTTAATTTTCAGGATAGAAAATGAAAGCCTGCTTGCAATCTACATTTTGCTTTACAGTCCATGGATAATTTGTGGTTGGTTTGAATTTATTTAATTCCCAATCACTTACAGACTCTGAGTTTTGTAAAGTAGGGGATCGAAATCCCTCCTAGTTCATTCATTCTCTATTTGTGTCAGAAAGCTTTGGAAGCTCAGTCATTGGGAATGTTTAAGACTGAAATCATAGATTCTACACGTTGAAAACATGGGGCCAGTAGAGGAAATGACATTGAGGCAGTGGCTCACCTATGATCTTGTAGAAACATAAAAAATAAGAGCAGGAGTAGGCCATTTGGCCCTTTGAACTTGCTCCATCATTCAAAAGGATCATGGCTGACCATCTAATTCAGTCTCCTGTTCTCACTATCTCCCCAATACCGTTTAATCTTTTTAACCCTAAGAGCTTCCTTCTTGAAAACATTTGGCCTCAACCGCTTTCTGTGACAGAAAATTCCACAGGCTCCCCACTCTCTGGGTGAAGACATTTCTCTTCAAACTCAATTGAATGGCAGAGAGGACCCTGAGGGCTGGAGTAGTTCACTCCTGCTCCTTTTTATTGAATCCTTGAGTCCTAGACCTTCTTCGGAGATTGGTGCCCTTTTCTCCTTGATTTCATCACAGACAGTTACTCTCGTGTGGTTGTGGCAAGAGATTCTGGCCACGGGAGGTGAGATTCAGGAGTTTTCAGGCATCGATGTGGGCAAGGTACTTAGGTCAAACTGCTGGGAAGACTAAAAGAGAAGGACCCACCCAGCATCATACACACAGGCTGCAGCGGTTCGAGAAGGCAGCTCACCACCATCTCTCACGGGCAATTAGGGATGGGCAATAAATGTCAGTGATGGTAACATTGTGTGAGGAAAGTAGAAAGGTCCCAGATAAAGTGTGAACGGTGAGTAAAAGGAGCAGGGGACAGTCAAGAGGGCAGCATTTGAAGAGTGTAGTGATTTTGGAGGTTGTAGTGTTGAAGGAGGTTATATTGAATTGGACCCTTTCGGTGTAGAAACTGGGGTGATCAGCCCAAGCTGCGGTATAATTCACAATGTAAATGGAGGGTGTGAGAATTTAGAAATTAGCAGCACAAAAAAGGACCATTTGGTCTGTCACGCCTGTACTTGCTCCTTCTTAGAGATTTATGTCCTGGGATTGTGAAAGGCGCCAAGCAAGTGCATGCTTTTATTTTTATTAAAGACTTTCCACGTCTGCTGTGTCCTTGCCACTGCTTCCTCTGTTATGAAGGAAGGGAACTTACTGCAGGGATTAAAATTGTGTTGATTGTTTTTCACACTATGTTAGAGGTTGGAATATGGATCTGTTAAACCAGGGCACTGTATTCAAATCAGTCCCATTCAAATCACAACATAAAAAAACCGAAAGAACTGCGGAAGCTGTAAATCAGGAACAAAAACAGGAGTTGCTGGAAAAGCTCAGCAGGTCTGGCAGCATCTGTGAAGAGAAAATCAGAGTTAACGTTTCTGAGGAAAGGTCACCGGACCCGAAACGTTAACTCTGATTTTTTTCTTCACAAGATACTGCCAGACCTGCTGAGCTTTTCCAGCAACTCCTGTTTTTGTTCCATTCAAATCACGGCCTGCTCAGAGTGAAGTGAGAGGTGGAGACAGGTAATTCCAGCAGTAAATGGGTGTTCAGAAGGAGGGCTGCGCACAACAAGGTGATTAAAATGAAGGTCTAAAGGGAATTCTTTTCCTAGGAATTCCAGCACAGACACAGCATTCATCATTATCGAAATAATCTTTTATCCCATTCACTCTTGTGTGTGTATCGTTGTGTTTCCCCTTAAAAACATCAGTCACCTCAAATACTGTGTGGTAGCAAATTCCACACTTTCTTCATTGTGTTTCTCGGTATCTATACTACATACATTTTTCCCCCAAAAATGTACTTTATTTGTGTAATTTTAAAAGGTACACGACCAAACGTTGACTTGAAAATCATAAAAGTTGCAACAAAATTCAAACGTACAAACAGGAAATAGGAACAGCAGGAGGCCATTTGTCCCCTCCGCTCTGCTACATCATCCAAATAAAATCCTGGCTGTTCTGATGGCTCCAAATTCCCTCCTGTCCTCCCATAACCTTTCAACTCCTCGCTTTTCAAGAATCTATCCACCTCTGCCTTTAATAATGAAGAGTCTGCTCCCGTCACCTTTTGAAGAAGACTTCCAAAGACTCACGACCCCTCTGTGAGAACAAATTTCTCCTCAGCTCTGTCCTAAACAGAAGACCCCTTATTTTTAAACTATCACCCCAAGCTCCTACAAAAGGAATCATTGTCTCCACATCCACCCAGTCGAGATTCTTCAGGACCTTGCCTTTTTCAATTGCGTGTCTCTTAACCTTCTAACCTCCAGCAGATACAAGTCTAGCCTGCCCGGCCTTTCCCCATAATAGTCACCTATTGCAGGTATTATTCTCACAGACCTTTTCTGAACTGCTTCCCAATGCATTCACATCTGTCCTTAAACAAGGAGACCAATACTGTACACAGCATTCCAGATGTGGTCTCAGCAGTGCCTGGTAACAGAAACAGAAACATAAACCCTCTCTCTGTTTTTGATTCAATTCCTTTCCTAGTCAAGAATAACATTCTGATGACTTGCTGTACCTGCGTATTAATCTTTGGTGATTCACACATGAGGAAACCCAGATCTCTTGGTATCTCAGGGCTCTGCAATCTCTCACCATTTAGATGATATGCTTCTTTTTGCAATTCTTCCTGCCAAAAATGGACAATTTTACATTTTCCCACATTGACTCCAAACAGCACATCCCAATATCAGGATCCTTCAAACAATTGTAATAGCCTTAAAATGTGCAGTGTACATTCCTTGTCAAGATTACAGCCCAAGGCAATCTACAATTGCCCAGCTCCTCATTGTACTATGGATGAAAGACCTTAGACAGTGGTCCTTTGCCACTGCCCCTTGGCAGCAGCTGACCCAAGCTTTAGTGCGTCCCTCAGCACATAGTCCTGGGCCTTGGAATGTGCCAGTCTGCAACGCTCAGTCAGGGTCGACTCTTTACACTGGAGTTCCAACAAGTGTCAGGCAGACCAAAGAGTGTCTCTCACTGAGTTGATCATCTTCCAGGTGCAGTTGATGTTTGTCTCAGTGTGAGTCCCTGGGAACAGCCCTTAAAGCACAGAGCCTGGTGTCATGGAGCTTCTCAGGACAAACCTCGACAAAATCCACTGTATCTGTAGGAATGATCTGCTGGGAAGGGCCTATCTCACCACAAACCTAGCCACGTCTTGGTGTTTGTTTGACAATTCCGTAATGCATCCGGGTGCCTGTGCCTACAGCTTTGAGATTACCTCCCTGACTCACTACCTTATGTGACTACTTTAAGACAATCCTCAAACTGAGCTTTTGGTTTCTGGCCTAATATCTCCTTGTGTAGCTAGGTGTAAAATTTTATTTTATAATGCTCCTGTGAACTGGCTTGGAATGGTTTGTTATATTAAAGGTGCAACATAAATGTAAATTGTTGTTATGTATTATCATCAGATCGTAGAATGATGGGGGACAGAAAGAGGCCATTCATCCCTGTGCTAACTCCTCAAAGAGCTTTCCAGTTAGGTCCAATCCCTCTGTGTCTTCATTAAAGTCCGCTAGATTTTCTCCTCTCAAATATATTCATTTAATTCTCTTTTAAAAGTTCCAATGAATCAATGCCCTTAGTCTTGGTTTCTCCTACAAACAGTATAACAGTGACTACGTTGTTAAAATACTTTGTTGACCATAAACCTCCAATAAAAAGCAGCATAAGAGTGAGGTTGAAATTTTGGGCTGAGTTGGGAGGACAGACAGAGGAGTGATGGAACTTCTTGGAGCTGAAGCAGAAGATTGATATAAATTATGACAGACCCTGTTTCTTCCTTGCAAGATTTAAACAAAACACATCTGTTTTTTATTGCTATTCCACAGATTCAACTTCTTGGTCTCCAGGACATTGTGTAGAACCCAAGGCTGGGGTGAAAGGTCATGACACCCAACCTGGGTGGGAGGGGCTCCCATGGGAGAACAGCACAGCCAATGAGAAGGCATCTCCATGTCACATGACCAAGGACACCACCCACACCTTCTGTTCAGGTAACAAGGCCCAGTTTCCTATTTGTGAGCAGGAAGATCCCACCATTTAAAACGGAGGGGTTTTGAGGAATGAGATGGATTCAACAAGGAAAATCTCACTGATGTCTGTTAGGGAAAAGAAATCTGCCATTCTCACCTGGCCTGGCTTATATGTGACTCCATACACACAGCAATGGAGTTGACTCTTCTCTCCCCTCTGGGCAATTAGGGATGGACAATAAATGCTGCCTAGCCAGTGATACCCACGTAGCATTGATGAATAATTTTTTTAAAAACTTCCAGACATGAGTTTCATGATCCCAATTTCCAACTGAACTCACAGTTGAAGGGAAAATGAAGCTAGTATCACCCTGGTTAGACCCCACTGGGAGTACTGTGAGCAGAACAGAGCACCACACCTTAGGAAGGATATATTGGCCTTGGAGGGAGAACAACGTAGGTTTACAGGAATGATAACTGGTCTTCAGGGATTATGTTATGAGGAGAGATTTTACAAATTAGGCCTGTTTTGTCTAGAATTTAGAAAGTTAAGGGGTAATCTGATTGAAGTCTCCAAGATATTAACAGGAAAATACAGGGTAGACAAAGGTAAACTGTTTCCACTGGTTGGGGATTCTAGAACTAGAGGCATAGTCTGAGAATTAGGGTCAGACCATTCAGGAGAGATGTTAGGAAGCACTTTGACACACGAAGGGTGGTAGAGGTTTGGAACTCTCTTCCACAAATGGCAGTGCATGCCAGATCAGTTGTTAACTTTAACTCTGACATAGATAAATTTTGGTGAAGCAAATGTATTAAGGGATCTGGGCCAAATCCCTGGGCCATTGAGTTATGCCACAGATCAGGCATGATCTCGTTGAATGGTAGAACAGGCTTGAGGGGCTGAATGGCCTCCTCCTGTTCCTATGTTCCTATTAGTGGCTTTCATGACTTCAGAACTTCAGGTGTAATTTACAAAAGACTGCAGTCAAATTGCCCACAGAGAGCTCCCACAAACAACAACCGTATGATGCCCAGGTAATCTGATGATGGTACTGTTGGTTCAGTAATAATTACTGGCCTGGACATCATGACGTCCTCCCTCTCCTCATTCTCATTCTTCTTCTTCTTCCTCTTCAAAAAACTGACCGTGGAATCTTTAACATTTTCCAGAGTGGGGTAGGCTCTTTAGTGTCTCCTCTGACAAAGCAGCACTCCTCCTGTGGCCAAATCATGATCATATGACACCTGACCACATGACAAAGGTTCACATGATCAGTCATGTGACACCACCCCCATTGGTGTGTCAGAGTTCCCACTGAGCCAGATGTGGGAAGTGTACTGAAGATGGAAAGGCAAAAGTTGAAACTTGACTTTAGGTTGTGCCCTGAGGTGGGTAGAATGAAGAGGTATCTATTTCTATGATCTATAATCTATTTCAAACTTTAATTCTGTGGTACTTTCAAACAGGATCCAAATCCCGCTGTGTTTTGCGTTTGTATATTTTTGTGTTGTATTCCATACTGTGTCAAAATTGAATCTAAGAAGCTACAGAAAATAGCATACACAGCCCAGACCATCACACAAACCAGCCTCCCATCCATTGACTCCATTTACACATCTCGTTGCTGAGGAAAGGCAGCCAATATCATCAAAGACCCCTCCCACCTCGGTTACAATCTCTTCCAACCTCTTCCATCCTCTTCCATCAGGCAGGAGGTACAAAAGCTTAAACTCGTGCACCAAAAGGTTCGAGAACAGCTTTCTCCCCGCTGTTATTAGATTGCTGAACGGATCTTGCTTTGTGCACCTCCTGTGCAGCTGTAACCTAGTATGCCCCACTCTGTTCAAGCACCCTACGATCCATATATCCTTGTATATTATGATCTGCCTGTACTGCATGCAAAACAGAACTTTTCACTGTACTTAGGTACATGTGACAAGAATAAATCAAATCAGATCAATACAAAGTTAATGGTGGCGTACAGATTGTGAGTTGCCAAAAATAATTACTTCCATGACAGCTTTTTGTCTGGGAATTTGCCTTCATGGGATTAACACTGTACCTTTGAGCTGTGTTTCTAACCTGGCTGAGATTCCTCATCAGATCGATTGACAGTGTGCTAACCAAAATGGGAGTTATTTGATACATTGATTTACACTGAACTTTTCTGCAATCAGCTCACTCATGTTGTTTAGATTTTGCTGTGGAGTGTTCTCCGATGTGCCATTTTTCCTCCATTCACTTCTCCTGACCCCTGGCTCTGCCTGGCACAGCTGGAGTGGCCCTGGGCAAAGCTGCAGATCTCACGGCTGTTCAGCGGGTGCCCTTTCAATTGGGCACCACTCACATTGCTGCAACCACGATCCAAGCTGCTTCACTGAGAAAAAGCCAGCAGTGACCTGCCCAAACCCACATCATCCCATTCACCAAACACGTCCCTCCCCACGCTCCCTGACCTACACCTTCCCCTCAAATTCTTTTTCACCTCCCCGTGTTTCCAGTCCCTCTGGGCCTCATCCCTCGTTATCTCTGCAATCGCCTTCAGCCCTCCCTGCAATCCCTCAGTTCTGGTCACTCAAATCATTACAATGTGGACGCAGGCCATTCTGCCCATCAGATACACAATGACCCTCTGAGGACCAACCCACCACTCTATCCCTGTATCCCTGCATTTAGCATGGCCAATCCACCCTAACCCACGCATCTATGGACTGTGGGAGGAAACCAGAGCACCCGGAGGAAACCCACACAGAGACGGGGAGAATATGCAAACTCCACACAGACAGTCATCTGATCATTGGCCATGCAATACTTTGGGATGTCCTGATGTCTTGGAAGGTGGGTACAGGAATTCTTTTGATCAAATCTGAATGAGTTGGCCTTGGGAAGAGATTGTGTTGGGAGGATGGGTGGTGGGAAGTGGGGCATTTGGAGGTGAACTTTCAAGGGATGTGCCTCAGGCGAGGCAGGTTTGGAGTTGCTGAAGGGCCAACGTGGTATAAATTGACTCTTGTTCCTTCCTGTTGCAGAGTCAGCTTCTCTAGCTCCGCGATTGGCCAGCAATGAAGATTGCTTGCTGTCTCCAGTCTCTGCGCCCGGTTTCCCCTGGGGTCGATTCCAGAATGTGTATGATTTGTGCCATCTCTCCTCTGGCTTTCCCTCCTCTCTCCTGGTGGGCACAGCTGATTTGTACGGATCCCGTGTTTCGAGACCCTTGGAGATTGACCAACCGATTGACTACAGCACCCACTACAGCTCGGCATCCAGCTCCTACAACTGCGTCAAGTGTAACAAGGTAACAGCTGCTGGGAGCACTTCGGAAGAAGGTTCAGAATGTTCCGTCTTGTTGCTGATTGGTACAAGTCATGGTCCTGGCCTGTTACAGTGAAATGGTGTCTCTGTGGGGAACTGTCTTACTTGGTGGGTTCAAGTCCCACCTCAGAGTGCTGAGTGTGTCCTTGAGGGTGTACTGTACTGTTGGAGGTGCTATCTATTTTAAACTACCTACAGCCCTTTTCCTTTCATAAGATTTGGGCATCACTGCAGAGGCCGACATTTAGTGCCCATCCCTAATTGCTCAGAGGGCAGCTAAGAGTCAACCACAATGCCTTGAGTCACGTGTAGGCCAGACCAGGTAAGGACAGCAGTTCCTTCCCTACGGAATGTTACAGAGCCAACTGATATTTGTCCGTGGTCACCATGACTGAGACCAGCTTTCAATTCCAAATTTAACAATAATTTAAGTATTAAAGACTTAAATTCTAGCTGCCATAATGAAATTCAAACTCATGTCACAGAGTCTTAGACATCTACAGCACAGAGAAAGGCCCTTCAACCCATTAAGTCCATGCTGGTCAATAACAGTGGGGAGGCAATGGTCTTGTGGCATTATCGCTGGACTGTTAATTCAAAGACCCAGATAATGTTCTTGGGACCTGGGTTCAAATCCCGCCACAGCAGATGGTGGAATTTGAATTCAATAAATATCTGGAATTAATGATGACCGTGAATCCATTGCTGATTGTCGGGGAAAAACCCATCTGGTTCGCTAATGTCCTTTAGGGAAGGAAATCTGCTATCCTTACCTGGTCTGGCCTACATGTGACTCCAGCCCCACAGCAATGTAGTTGACTCTTAACTGTCCTCTGGGCAGTTAGGGATGGGTAATAAATGCTGGCCTAGCCAGTGATGCCCTCATCCTGTGAATGAATAAAAAATAAATAACCACTGAACTATTCTAATCTCATTTCCGAGCACTTGGCCTATAGCCTCAGCATCACAAGTGCACATCTAAATACTTCTTCAATGTGATGAGGGTTTCTGCCTCTCCCACAATCACAGGCAGTGAGTTCCAGATTCCCACCACCCTCTTGGGTGAAAAGATTTTTCTCACATCTCCTCTACACCTCCTGCCCCTTCCCTTCGATCTATGCCCCCTGTCACTAATCCCACTATCCAGGGGAAATGTTCCTTTCTGTCTACCCTGTCTATGTCCGTCATAATGTTATACACCTCAACATGTCCCCGCTCAATCTCCTCTGCTCTAAGGAAAACAACCCTAGTCTGTCTAATCTTTCTTCATCATTGAAACTCTCCAGCCCAGACAACAACCTGGTAAATCTCCTCTGCATCCTCTCCAGTGGGGTCACATTCCTCCCATAATGTGGATTCCAGAACTGCATACAGTACTCTCGCTGTGGCCTAACCAACGTTTTATATAGTTCCAGCCTCACCTCCCTGCTCTGAAACTGAATGCCTCCACTAATAAAGGCTGGTATCCCACATGCCATCTTAACCACTTTATCCACCTGCCTTAGGAGACTGATGATCATGCACGCATTCATCATGGATTCCCTTGCCTTGTTAGTCCTGCCCAAGTGCACCACCTCACACTTATCCAGATTGAACCCATTTGCCACTAGCCAGCCTGTCTATGTCCTCCTGTAATCTGAGGCTATCCTCCACACGATTTACCACCCTGCCAATTTTCCTATTATCCACAAACTTACTGATCAACTCAGCTACATTCAAGACAAAGCCATTTGTATTTACCACAAGCAGCAAAGGGCCCAACACTGGTCCCTCTGGAGGCTCAATGGACATATTAGGGTACATTACCCTGAGCCTGGATTTATCAATCCAGTGTCATTGCCATGACCTGAGCACCCAACGCTCTGGTTTGCAGGACCAGAGGAATGCTCCCTGATAACTTGGCCAATGTTAATCCTTTAACGCACAGCACAACAAAGGAGATGTCCTGGCTGTGGTGTTAGTGGGGTCTTGCTTTGCTCAAAGTGGCAGTTTTGATTGACTCTCAGCTTCTCCCAAGACCACAGCACATCCCACCTCTGACTGCACACCATTGGCAGGCATGTCAATGCTTGGGGATATCTTGAGATCCTGGAAGAGGCTATGGATTTGGGAACCTGTCTTTAGAAGGTGTCTGTGATATTTCTTTTTCCAAGGGAAACATGAATCCTACCCCATCCCTGGGGATCCTGGGATTTCCTTGGTTTGGTCACCTTTACCAGTGAGACCCAGACTGGTATACCTCCCCTCCCTCAGGGTACGTGCCCTGGGTCGCAGTGTGAATGAACTAATGAATGAATTAATTTCCTGATGAAGCTCTCTCTGTTGAGACCCCTGTATTAACTGGCCCAATTCTCCAACCAGGTCTTCTCCACCGCCCATGGTCTTGAGGTCCATGTCAGGCGGTCACACAGTGGGATTCGACCTTTTGCCTGTGACTTGTGTGGGAAAACATTTGGTCACGCAGTCAGCCTGGAGCAACACATGAACATCCACTCACAGGTACCCATCTTACACTCTATAGCAACCTCATCGATCAGGGTCCTCAGTACAGGGGGCCGAAAGGAGCGGGACCCTGTACCCCAGTGAGAGTCAGCTCCTTCAGGAGGGGAAAGGAGACCCAGTATCCCAGTGAGGGTCAGCACCTTCAGTAAGGGAGGGGAGACCCAGTAGAGGGTCAGCCCCTTCAGGAGGGGAGGGGGTCCCGTACCCCAGTGAGAGTCAGCTCCTTCAGGAGGGGAGGGGGGACCCGTACCCCAGTGAGAGTCAGCTCCTTCAGGAGGGGAGGGGAGACCCAG